ATAAATTTTTTGAAACTTAATTTTATAATTAAATTATTTTAAAAACCTTTTAAAAAACTTAAAATCTTTGTTAATAAGTTGATAAAATATATATTAAATTATATTTTTTATATAGTAATAATATTAATAAAATTAATATTTAATATTTTATAAAGAAATTAATAATTTTTTTTAATTTCGCAGGCAAATTTGCCTGCTAGATAATCTAAGAGATAGTATATATTCTTTGATATATTAGAAATAATTTAAATTGGATTAGAAAGATTTTATGATATGTTATTATTTTTAATATTTGAAGGCTTAATTATACTAAAGAAAGATAATAAAGTATTTTATAGTAGGATTTGCATTAAATCTAATTAGAAATTTAGAGTTAATATTAGTTATACATTTAGAAAATATTTTTTTAATTTTGCTATAAGAGTACTTTTTTTTGTCTTAAAAATATAATAAATAAAATAAATAACTTTAATATTAATATATTATATTTATAAATAAGTTTAATAATAAAATATTTTAAAAAAACATTTATAATAAAAAATACTAAATATTTATGTAATTAATTAATTAATTTTAGAATAATAATTTTATTTAAAAAATAGATAATTATTTAAAATATAAGAATAAAATACTTGTATTATAAAATAATTGTTTATTACTATAATAATTACTGATTAAATTATAAATATTTTATCAGTTTATATTTTCTTAATATTTTTATAAGAGTAATAAATTTAATTATAAACTTATTATATTTTATAAAAGATATTTTATTTAATTAGATAAATAAATTATTAATTATTTATTTGATCAATTATAATCATATTTATAAAATTAGCTTGAAAGCTATTTTTATTAATATTCTTATATATAATTATAATTTTATATATTTAATCTTATATCTAAAGTAAAGTAATTTATTACATATAATATTTTGGATTAAAAATTTGTAATTTATAAAATTATAATTAAGTATTTTAAGAAATGGTTTATTTTTAAAAATTTATAAAATCTAACTAATAAATTTTAATTTAAATAAATATTAATATTACTTTTTCAAAATTTATTTTTTAATCTTAGTTTTAATAATGTAATTAATTAATAATAATAATAACTATAATTTTATTTTAAGAAAAACAAATTATATTTATAATATATTTATATATTTATATTTATATTTTATATTTTTATATAATATATTATCGATCGTCATATAAATAATTTTATAAACAAAAATATATATAAAAGATGATTTTTTTTAATAAAAATTTTTAAATATAAAATTTATATTAGAACAATTTTTTTTTTCGCCAAGAATTTTTACTGTTAACTGATTTGTTCATCAGTAATCTTCTATAGGCTAGATTAGATAACAACGCACGCGCACAAGTGCATGGCTGTCTTTGTAATATGATACAATGCAATGAAAGTCGTTTTGAAATTAATCTATGACGCATTCGGTGCCACAAAGCAACAAAACGTCAGAATGATATCATGAAATACTTTGAAAATTAGTTAGTAGCTTATTTTGGATTTTTGTAGGATAATATAAATTGTATTATAAATATTAAATGAAAGAAAAAAAACTCGTTTGATATACCATATCATATACCATAACATGAGTTCCGGGCTCCGCTTAGCCATTATCTCATTTTCTCTAAGCTTCTATAATGATCAATTTCGTCATTTGTATTGTACAACATGCTCCCAACTAAATTCAAAATTTTTTTGTATCTCTTTTTTTTCCTCCTTATTCCTACACTTTCGTTCTAGCACAGCGACCCTATCTTTACTTTCTATTGTCTACAATTTTTTTTTCTCAACCTCATCACAAAACTACAAAGTTCCCTTTTTTCTTAGTTTTTGCCAATATTTATATATATATTTGTTGTGGATTGACGAGTAGTTTTATTTTAAAGACGAAGAGAACAACATAAATAATTAAAATACTTTTGATCCACTGGTTCGAAATAATTCATAAGGTACTTGTTGACTGTAAATTTTTCTCGTGTACAACAAAGAGTTTTTAAATTAGTAAATTTTCAATAAAAAAAAAAATAAGGCTAAGACGAATAGAATTGAAACGGAAGTTTCGACCTAATGCTGGCAACTTATTCCACTTATCTAAGGAATAATGAAAGATATAAGCAAATGCTTTGTAATTGTAAAAGAAGAAATAGAGGTCATTTCCTAAACTGATGAGTTATTATATAGCATCTAACTGTATTTATTATTCCTTTTTATTTTTATATTTAAAAATTCTGGACATAAGGTTTTAGGTAGATAAAAAAAAATTTGTAATTTTAATAATTAAATTTATTTCGTAATTTAATTACGATCTATTAAAAATTTATTACTTACAAAAAAAATCATCAATTATTGAACATTTATATATTTTTTTCCTTCCCTAGTTCACCAAATTTCACAGATTATATTAATTGAGAACATAAGAGTCAAGAACATATGATTCAAGTGGATCACGCAATGAACTCTTTTTATTCTGATATTCTTGAAAATTCCTCGCCGACTTTGGTAACAAATGTAAATGGACGTATTCTCTATGTCAATAGACCAGCTTTATGTTTATTGGAGAGATATCGTCCTTTCAAGAAACAAAATTCAAATAATGTTAATGATAATCCAGACCCAAATACTTTTAAAGGTAGACATTATACATCAATACTTGAACCTCTAGATTTGTACGAAGATACATCATTGCGTAATCATTTAATGAACAATGTACAGATATTAAGTAAACGTACTTATGTTTGTCGGACAATTAAATGTCGAACATTTTTAAGCAAAAGGCCTATTATGCTCGAGCTTTCAACGCGTACATGTATGTTGCCCGGATTTTCTAATACAGATAAATATGGCATGGAAGAAAAAAAAATTACGATACACCCTTCACCAACCGAGAATGATAAAGGATATTCAAGAAATTCTTCGAATACAAAAAATTCTATTCTTGGTAAGGAACGTATTGAAACAAGAAGCGATGAAAATGGAGGAGGTGATGATGATGATGATGATGAGAATGAACAATTTTATGATGCTATAGAGTATATAGATGATGTTAATTTGGAGAATAATTTAGAGCGATCCGGCATCAATTGTCAAAAAGTGGACGACAATAATAAATTATATCAAGAGGATTTATTAAATAAAACGAACTTGACGGATAGTCGAGTTGTTGATTCGGTCCTTGTACCTGAAAGCGTAAAAAATATGATATTAATTAGTACAATTCGAGATGTAACTGATTCAAAATTCCAGGAATTTGTACTAAATGTAGCTGATAATCGTATATCAATCACATATGATGTAACCGGAATTATCACAGAGATTTCTAGATCTTGTAAATCGATATTTGGTTTCGAAACAGATGAATTGCTTGGAACTGACGGTTATTCCTATATTCATCCTGATGATACAACTGATGTTCGAACATATCATACTAAATGTACTGTCGAGAATTATAATACTAATTTACAAAGGCAGACTTTTCGTCATCGAAAAAAAGATGGAAGTTATTGTTTATTGGAGATATGGTCTCAAGGTTTTCAACCCGATGGATCTTTGTCATTTATAGGATTCGATATTACAGATGCTTCTGATCATCTGGTGGATAATCGTACTTTAATTCGTAATTTATTGCCAAAAGATGTCGAAGGAGAGTCTTATGAAAAAGAAGCAAATAATTTTGTCTCCTTCATTTGCCATGGTATGTTAGATATTTTGAGTTCTGCAGTTCTTTGATTAATCAAGAAGAAAAAAAAACCATTTGTTTATAACTTTAGGGTAATAAAAATATTGCCATATATTTCGAAAATGAACTTGATGTATATGAGATTTCTCATTTTGGTATCAAAATTCTAAAACTGTCAATGTAACGTCCTTTTTTTTTTTAAAAAAAAATGTAAATGTTCCTTTTTTTAGAACTTCGCAATCCATTGAATGGGATAATTGGCTTTACAACTTTAATACTGGACACTGAACTCTCAAGAATACAGCGCGAATATGCCGAAGCTATTTCAACAATAAGCAGTTATATGTGTAACATCATTAACCAATCACTTGATTTATGTCAAACACAATCTCATGGTACAACTTCTTCAGATATTGGACCTTTGAGATTGAATGAGGTAATCGATTTTGGTTTCTTAACTGTCACTGCATTGGCAAAAACAAAGGAGATTGATCTTAAATTAGTAGATCATTTACCTTTGCCAACAGCTGGTCAAAAAAATCAAATAAATAATGGTGCTACGGGCATTGAAAATTTATCTCATGTAAAAAAAATAGAGAACAAATGGTATGGAGACGAAGATACTGTGCGTAAAATTTTATTGAATTATTTAACGAATGCAATTAAACACACCGGCGGAGAAGTGATAGTATATCTTGAAGTCGCATCTGATAAATTACCGGATGGAAAGGAAGGATTTATGGCCAGATGTTCAGTTGAAGACAATGGTCCCGGAATTCCGCAAAAAGACCTTAAACGACTTTTCTTACCCTATTCAAAGCTAGTTTCATCATTTGGTGAAATGAAAAATCTCAATCAAGGGAATATTGATGGTTCGAAGTCACCTAACCATCAGCAGTCACATAGGTGTTCTGGTTTAGGTTTGAGTATTTGTAAAGAATTGGCTGATAAAATGGGTGGTAAAGTTGGAGTGGAAAGCGTATTGGGAAAAGGTAGCACTTTTTGGTTTACATTTCCTGTGTATACCGGCGTGCCTGAAGTTGTTGAAGACGATTCCGATACCGGAGCTTCTTTTAGTGAAGAAACGGGTAGCGGAAATGAAGGTTCAGATAAGGGGATCTTTATAGGAGATGCATTGTGGAAAAAAGCACACTCGTTTCAGGATGAATCTAAAGACGATGTTTCTGAATATGGCCAAGAAAATTTATCAAAAAGACATTGGATTCCTTTTGACAATGTAATTTCAATAAATTCTCCATCTTCGATATCATCTGCACGAAATTCAATATATTCTTCAACTTCTGCGAATTATTCAAATTCACGTCCAAGTTCTACTTCAACTAACGCGAGTGAAAGAATAAATTTTGGTAGTCAACGTAAGCATAAGAAACCAACAAAGGTTCTTATGGTTGAGGATAATGAAATCAATCAACAAGTTGCGATAAAATATTTGGAAAAAATGGGTGAAGAAGTCACCGTAGCTGCAAATGGTATAGAAGCATTAGAGAAAATGAAATACGAGAATTTTGATATTCTTTTTGTAGATCTACAGATGCCTATTATGGTAAATTATTTAATTATTAATGCAACTTTTATGTTATATTTTAGATTATTTTTTTAAAAAAAAAAATCATTACTTTCTTAATTTAATATCTTTTATTAATTATTTATTATAAGGATGGTTATGCATTAACTCGCCAGATTAGAGAAGCTGAACGTGAAGCGTGTCAATGTGAATCACAAGATTATGAATTTCAAAGCATATCATCACACGACGCTTCCACACCTCCACTTACTCCGCCAGGATCATCATCAGTATCAAAATCTTCTTTCCATATAAACACACAAATATCAAACGGTTCATTTGCATCATCATTATCATCATTATCATCATCATCATCATCATCATCATCATCATCATCATCTACCCATAATTCATTATCATCGTCGTCATCTTTAGAGTCCTCATCTTGTTCGCATTCTAATTTACATGCAAAATCAAGAAAACCCCATTGTCTCGTTTCATCGTCTCTTAAACACCGATATCATAAACATATACCTATTGTAGCGTGTACCGGTAACGTGTTAGGAAAAGAAAAGGATAGGTGCATACAACATGGTATGGATAGGTTTTTAAGTAAACCATATCGAATTGAAGAAATGAGATCGTGCATAGAAGATTTAGTAGAAAGTGATGATGAAGCGTCAGCTGATGACGGAGATTTTATTAATCATAAAAATGAAAGTAATGGTGGAAGTTATAATTTTAAGTTACAAATTAACCATAATGATCGTGGTTATGAAAAAAGCAATGGACAATTGTCTATGGCACTTATATAGAAATCAAATATATGTTGGATTTTGATGTAAAAAAAGAGACACTGAATGATTGAATTCATCGTTACATATTAATTTTATTTAAGTGAGCGTAGGAAAAAAAAATTTTTTTTCTTTTATTTTTAAAAATGTTTCTCACTGTTGATCAGCTTTAGTTGCTCTTGTATTTTTATTAACTTTTTCACGTTATCCCCCCTTTGTTCCTTACCTCCTTTCACTTCTCGTGTAAATTTTAATTCCCTTTTCCATTTTTCCTTTTTCATATATATAACATAATATGATATATTTATGTCAAAATTTTCTTTCCCTCGTATCTAAAAAAAATTATCGCAGGTTCGGTTTAGATTAGAAAAAAGTTTGATTAATGCTATTTATGATTAGAGTCATGTTTATATTACTTAATTCTCTAATTAAAAAAATTATAAACTCTAAAAAAAAAATTTGCGCTATGACGATTTAATGAATTCAACTTTGTTAACCTAACTTTATTGAGTTAAAATTTTAGATCACCATGATTAATATATTTGTAATTATTTCGTTCACATAAATATACAGCATACAACATATAAGTGCAAACAAAAAATCGAAAGAAATTTAAAAAAAAATAAAAAAATTGAATCATGACTTCACCACATAATGATACAAAATCTCACGTTTCACACATCGCTCAATCTTATACCGATGTTAAGGGTGAACAAAAACATGAATTAAATGATCAATATGTTCAACCTGTAAAAGAACCTTCCACAAATTTACCTTTTGATCAGCAGATGGCTATTGAAAAAGGAAGTTATAAACAAAAGGCTGATCGTGAAATTAAAGAAGACGATGAAGAAGTTTTGAGGAAGAAGGATCAACGACAAACAAAGAAAATGCCTGCAAAAAAGTGAAAGATAAATCTTTGGAAGCTCCCTTTTTTTTCCTTCCTTTCGGATTTTATCATTTTTGTATTATTTCTTTGTTTTGTCAAATTCAAAATGAGTTGCTGCGGCAAGCACATAATGATATTCTTAATATAGAAATTATTACTTTTTTTTGGAAATTTTGCATGATTGTAACTCTTTTATATCCAATTATCAAATGCAAAGGAAAAAATTTATATATTGATATTTTTTCTTCTGGTTTTTTCTTCGAACCTTTAAATTCTTTTCTTAATATGTAATATGTTTTCCCGTATTATTCTAATTATATCATTTTTGTTCTTTATAGAAAATTTTATTGAAATTGACGCGACGATAAGTACGACTTCAATCTCACAAAAAAATAATCAATTTAATGAGTCTATAAATAACTTTGATCATAATGAAACATCAAAAAATATTTTAATTGGTTCTTTCATTGGAGGTAAAATTGAATTAATAAAAATAATTGAAATAAATTAAATATATGTATATGTTATATATTTTTGACACGATCCAATGTAATATTAGGATGGAATCAACTTCGACCTTTAATAGAAATCTGTAAGATATTAATGAATCGCGGACATAATGTAAGCAGGAAAAATCACGTTTTATTATTTGATCTTTCTCAATTAACTCCTCTCTGTTATTTAAAAAGGTGACATTAATCTCACCAGGAAAATATTCATCACCATCATCAGATTACCCAATAATCCATCATATTTCTTCAGGACCTTCATTCGATTTAAGTATTATACCAGAATATCGAGAAATCCTTTCAGAAGAATATAGTATTAAAATGTTTGGCAGTTTAAAAAATTATTTAAATTCAAAATATTTAAATGATTTTAATTTATATAAAAAAGTGGCTAATGAAACGATAAAGGTTGATTTGTTTTTTTGTGATTTATTCTTAAATGAAGCATGCATTGATGTTGCTTGGTTAATGAATAAACCCTTGGTCACCATGTCATCTAAATTATGTAAGTAACATATATTTTCTTTCATTAAAAGAAAAATGATACAAAATATTAATAAGATCTTTCTTTCAATTGGGGTAAAACAAAGCGATGACATACATACCCTACAAATCAGATCCAATGATGGGATGTCATGTAAATATGGAACGAGAACCATTTCTGGAGAGATTCCGATGTGCAATCATTGCACCTATTCAAATGAATTACGTCCTCTCACCTTATACAAAAAGGTTGAATGAATTAAGAAAAAGTTTAGACGTTTCAAATTCAGAATCTTTTGAAAAATTACAAAATTCTTTATTTCTAGCTGATACATTTTTTGGTTTCGAGGTATGAACGTCGTGAAAATTTTAAGGAGTTTGAATTATACTCTACTTTTAATTATTAATTCAATTTATATCATCATCAAGACTCCACATCAAACTCCACCACTTTACCAGGTGAGTTAGTTCCCTTTCACTTTTTTTTTAAAATAATTATTTTATTTATTGTATTTTATTTTTTAACTCTTTTTTTAAATAAAAAAAATAAAGGAAATTGGACCAATCATGTCGGATAATCATTTACCTTTGACAAAAGACCTTAATAATTTTATCGCTTTACACAGGAGGATAATATATGTCAATTTTGGTACCCAAGTCTGCACTACTTACATGACCAATGTAATTCTCCTTCAAGCGTTTATCGAAGCGATAAACAATAATATAATAGATGGAATAATTTGGAAACTTACAAAATCATCTTCAAAAGTATTATTCCCATCTACAATAATGCTTTCAGGTAGCAAAACTATTATAAATACTTCAAATCATCCTAGCATTCACATCATAGAAGAGTCTCCACAATTTGCTATATTAAATCATTCAAACATTAAAATACATTTAACACATGGGGGAATAGGAAGCATTTATGAATCGTTGTTTACGGGAACACCAATGTTATTATTACCTATCGCGTTTGATCAATTCGGGAATTCCGAAAAATTATTAGAAAATGGTGTTGGATTATTACTTTCAAAGGTTTCACTTGATGTTCAAGATATTATAAGAAAGATTCAAACATTACAAAAAGACAAATACATACTCATAAATGTAGAAAGAATGAAAAGTCTGGCCATCTTAAATAGTAAAAGAAAGTTTAGGGCAGCTGATTTAATAGAATTTGTATTATATTCAAATCAATTAAATTCAATGACAAATTTTCATGAAAATTCTTTTAAAGAGGATTTAAAAATATGGAGGATTACACCCGAAATGAGATTAGGACTTAAATATTTGGATGTTTATGTCTCTCTGTTGATGGGATTTTTAATAATTATTATGATAATAATTTGGGTAATTTGTGAGGCTTGTAAATTCATTTTTGGAAATTTTATCTCGTTTTTTACGGGTCATAAAATGTCTCAAGTACGTTCGTAATGAACTCGGCTTTACATAAAATAATAAAATCCCTAGTAAATTAGATTTTGTGGAACATTAATTCGGATAAAAGTAAAAATATCGATTGTTCTTGATTAATTTGGTATAAATATAAACACTACACTCTATATCTCTAAACTTTCTGTATATTGTGGTTACCTCGCTTATTACACATGTCTAAATAAATATTTATAAAGAACTCCGTTATTAAAAATTTACATGCTCAAAGATTTTTTTTTTTTAGATATCCTGATGGATTGATTCAACTCAATAATAAATATGTGACACATTCTAGGAAATAACTAAAAATGAGGCTTAAAATGTCTAAAGATTGTCCGCCAATTGTGCAACGATTGTTCCGGTATTTCTAAATTAATTAAAATACACTGCAGTGTTTTTTTTTTTAATATAAATGGAATGATTCTATAATGAAGTTAACTGACATCATTTACTAATTTCTATAAAAACGGACGATTGTTTTTTTTTAAAAAAAAAGAAACCAGCCCATTTTATTTTTATACTAATCTATTGAAAGAACTAACATTTTATTACATGAGAACTTGAGGAAAAAAAAAAAAATACTCTTGGCAATAATCAGCCATAACCAATTTTTTGAATTTCTAGAAACTTTTTTTTATTGATAAAATATATCGAAATACAATGGTACAATAAATAATAGTATGGTGTAAGATAAATAGTTACTCTCTGAGTGATCAACTGACCCCCTTCTCCCGCATGTTTTTAACCCCTTTATTACCAGAAATTTGTATTTTTTCATTTACTAATAAATACCACCTCTTCAAACCGGAACGCACCTCAACTTTTTTTTTTTAAAAAAATAAAAACAAAAAAAAAAAGGAAACTTCATTATTTGTATATATTTATATATATATTAAAAAAAAATTAAATAAAAATCTTTAATAAAAATCTTAATAAAAATAAACCATGTCTCGTTTTATGATTTATTTAACGCTGCTTCTTGCTATTGTTAACTTGGCCTATGCCCGTAAGTATTTGTATTTCTTGATTATAATTTTGCGGTAATAATCATAACTGGCCGGTTACGTAATTGAAATCTAATTTAATAAAAATTCTTTTTTTAAAAAAATAATTTCAGAGCTCGATGCGATAAATACTCCAACTGGAGATATTACACAAGGAGTGAAAATTCTTGTCACTTGGAAACTGGTGGGACCAACGACACAAGCAGGAGTTTTACGAGCCGTCAACAAAGATACGCAAGCTTCAACAACATTATCAGATACCTTAGATCTTAATTCGTTACAATATGAATGGGTAGTTAATGTAGACCCGGGTAGTTATAATTTCGCTCTTAACGATGGAACTGGAGATAAATTTTCCGGTCAATTTAATGTTGTAGCACGTACGTCTCCCTCTTTTTTTTTTTCTCTTCTCTTTTCTTTTTTTTTGATTTTTATTAAAATTTTTTTATTAAAAAAAAATTTACAATTTTTTAGCAAAAACACCCGCTGCACCTGCTGATGGCAAAGCCCCTGCTGATGGCAAAGCCCCTGCTGATGGTAAAGCACCTGCTGATGGTAAAGCACCTAAAACTCCTGCGGCTAAAGATCCTAAAACACCAACCAGTAAAACACCCGCTGCCGAACCAAGTCAACCTCCAAAGGCACCAGCTGAACCAGATACGCCAAAAAATCCCAAGTAAGTATTCTTATAATCTGGATCATCAATAATTCGTTCGAACTTTATATATACTTGGATTTATCTAATCAAAATTTAATTAATTAATTAATTCAGGACATCAAATCAAGAAGCAACAGCTCCAAAGTCATCTGGGAATTCTGTTCCCTTGGTGTTTAATCTTTTATTGAGTCTTATCGGGGTGGCTACTTTTATGATATATTCCGCCTAATATGATATAGATTAAATTAGTTTTACTATAATTTACATAATATTCACAAGGCTATAGAGAAATTTTAATGTGGCTTTGCAACTTGTTTGTATGAACACTCCTTAATTAGATATGATAATTATATAATATAATAATAATTTTCGTTTTCGAGTTAATAAAGATCTTTGTATATTTATCCTTATATGGAAAGATCGCCTACATGCATCCGCATTTATTACAAAGTAGTTTCTCTTTATTATTTGATTCGAATACATCTCATCTCCTCAACCATGATAAAACATAATAATGAATCAAAATTCTTGTCAGCTTCCTAAAGGAAGCATAATTAAAATAATTAATTAAGTAATTTTGACACAGAGCGATCAAATAAAATTAATATATATATTATATACACACACATATCTTGGCCAGTAGTTCAATTATTCCCACCTAACGTTGAATTCCAGATTCGGAGATGAATCTGATGACATGTCAAACTCTTTAATCACCATTTTTTTCTCCTTACTGTACTTTTCGATTAACCCCCTATAAACCATCCTATCCAGTTGATGATCCCCATGAAAATTAAGTCGAAATTTCTTCAACTCCACCTTGCAATTATCGAAAAACCCTACCAAGGAGCTATCAGATAATACCATATGAATAAATTCCAGAGTTTCCAAGCTTTTAGGTAAAAACTTTGCCATTTCGACACTGAATCCGAAATTCATCATTCGACATGACCTTGTCAATGACAACTTTTTCAGATTATCCCATTTCTTTATGATTGAGAATAAATATGGAATATCTTGATTTTCGATAATAAAACCGCTGAAACTAGTAAGGTTTTTGTTACAATTCTCCAATATACCTTTTAACAATTTATGATTATTTTCCCCTTCATATTTGATACTAAGTACATCCAAATTGGACATCATATTTTGATTATGCATAATTTTAATAAAAGGGTTGATACCATTTGATATTCTAATGGTTCCATCCGAGTAATCAATAAAATCCAATTTCAAAGTTTTTAAATTTGGGAATGATGCTCGATTAAAGATTCTTAAATGTCTTGATTTCAAATTTACTTGAACTAAGGACAAGTTTTCCAACTTCTTGCATTTCAATAATGGTTCGAATCCGAGATCATTACCAATATTTGCATTTACTAGTTTAAGTTTCTTCAATGTATTTGACTGAGTTTCCAAATTAGAAATCACCCCAGAAATATTGCTCAATTTATCAATGATATATCCCAAACTATCTCCTCTGATTTTTATCTGTTCAAGTTGGTTTTGTGATTTAATAAATCTCTCCAATGGTACCTGAAGATCATTGAGATTAAAATCGTCGATGCGAAGAACTTTTACATTTTTAGAAAGTATTGTCAAACATGAAAGGATATTATTTTTATAAATGCATCCACTGAGTTCAACATGTTTCAATTTATGAAATGACATCTTTTGATGTTCATGCGTCAAAGCAAATAAGCTTATGAAGAGCTTGTCAAGTCTTGAGATGAATTGATCAATAAAAGTTTCATCAAAGAAACTATGAAAGATAGAGGTTGGCGCTTCTCGTTCAGGATTTTCTCCAAATAAATCAGTTTCATCCAAACGAAGGATAATTCCTTCAATGGTAGCTCCTCTTTTTATTATAATTCTTATGATGGTAAATACAATTCCAAAGATTTGATCAATTTCTGGGACCCCCGGTAAGGGAAAGTTTGTGTCCAATTCAAATCCTTTTTCGGTTTCATCCTGAGAAACTTCCTTCTCGTTTCCCTTTTCCGAGGTAATTTCATTTGAGAAATTGAAAGGATTGACTTCATCACGCTTATTTTTAACTTTACTTTTCTTATTTTTAACATACCCGGTAACAAGAAGGAAAAGATTATGAAAATCAATATGTGTGATAAAAGAAGGATAATCAAAGGACGTTCCCAATGGCAAAGAACATTCAATATCATCATTCTGATCATAATCATCCATTTCATAATCTTCATAATCTTCATAATCTTCATATTCCTCCTCATCATCATATTCATCAAAATCCACTTCGTCATCATCATCTTCTGACCAATAATCACAATCCACATGTTCATCATGAAGATCAGTGTCAATATCAAGTTCCTCATCCTCATCCATATCCATATCCTTCTCGTTTACTTTTTCATTACCCCGTCCTTCATTTTCGTCCTTGTCATCATTTTCTTGCTCGGCTTTTTCATCATCAATTTCCTTCATGATTTTGTCATAATTTTCATATATAAATCTTTTAATAAATTCCTTATCTTTCATGATGAATCTTAAAAGAAGAGGAACGATCTCGATGTGTTTTTTTAATTCAACATCACTACGAAATGGATGTTTCCAAAGATACTTTATACCATTACGACACCAATTACGATTTACCAGTACTATCGAAAGCAAGGTTTTGATGTCATTAACATTATTAAAGATTTCTTGTAAAATTTCGTTTGGGAAAGTTGACATTTTTGATCAAAAAAAAAAAAAGAAAAAAAATTTTTAGTGAAAGATGAGATGGATATAGGAAGAACAATGCTCAAGAAATTATATAAACGTCATTTATACACGTTAGCACCCTATTCGGTTACTTTATGAAGGCATGATCTTCTAAAAAACGCCCCTTAGAAAAATCTAACCGGGGAAATTCGGTCAGGTTACAATTCAAAACGCGAAAACAACACGTCCTTTATTACATGTCACGTGAATGCCAATATAATTAAGGTTCGGTGAAATTCGGTTTATATATATATATATATTTGAATTAGCATATAACTTATGTAGATTTAGTTACTATTAAACGACTAAAGTACACTGCTGAATGTATCCTCCTTTAATTTCGAATTTATCTTCCCATTTGAAGGATAAGAGATGTATTGTACCCCGGATACAATACATTAATCAATATGTGTACTGGATCGGAAAAAACTAATGAATCCGTCTTCAAAGAACGTTTCAGAACATCAGGGAAAAAATATCGCGTTAAAGTTATCTATTTCTTCATTTGGTCATTAAATTCATTAAATTCATTTAAACCATTAAATCCTTAATCAATTAGATCAATTAATAGCAAATCATTTTCGGATTCAAGATTATCATGCGTGACGTGTCAAATACCCTCATAAGCATAGTTGAATCATACTCGAGTTTTATGGTTCAAATTTTATTATAAAATCAGATGAATAGTACGTAAAAACTAAAATATAAACTATTTTTAATAATAAAAAAAATAAATTTTATCAAATAATTTAATATTATACAGTTAAATAATTTAGATTTCAAAATATTATAAAGTATATCAAAATATAAATTTATCTGAAAAGTTAATATAAAAATATTTTAAGTAGATTATATAAAATGTATAGAAACTTAAAAATAAAATAGAAATTTACATAAAAAATATTTACATAAAAAATTATTTACTTTAAATTCTTTAAATTTTTAATTTAGTATCAAAACAATTTAAAATATAATCTAAAACTGATTCACAAAATACCAGTTATATCTTAAAAAAAGATATTATCATATATATAATTTTAATCTAAAATTAAGATATTTATTCAATTAATAAAGCTTAAATTATGATAATAATAATAATAATTTTTTTTTAATATAAAAAATTTTATATTAATATAATAAAATTATATAAAGTCTAAATTTTATTAAAATAAATAAATAAGCAAATGATTTCAATATTATTATTATAAATTACTTAATTTTTTATTAATAAATTATTATAAAAATAAAATTTTCTTTTAAAAAGACATTTTAATAAATATTTAGAAAATTTGATATTCACGTAATAATACTGATTACTACTTTTAGGTTAATTGTTGGCTGATTTATAGCTAATTTACTTTAATTTTGATTGATAAAATTAAAAGTAATTAGAAATAGCAATTAGTCATTAATTAGCTATCAATTAATATCTAAAATCAATCTAAATAATACAAAAACAATCTAAAATTAGCCATTAATATAGTGATTCAATTTAAATATCAGTTAATTTGCAAATAGATAATCTGTGATTTCTATTATGAATCTGAATTACTATCTATAAAAATCTAAATAAAGAATAAATCTATAATAAATTTATAAATATAAAAGAAAAAATTAATAAAATATTATATATTTTTTAAAATTTAAGAATTTATAATAAAAGCAAATACTTTTTTATAATATTTTTATTAATTTGTTAATTTCTACCTAATATTTTAATTATTTATTATTAAATAAAAAAACCCTTAACTAAATGCTAAATCTTTTTATAACAAATCAAATTTTCTAAATATTTAATGCTAACTATATTCTTTTTATAGTTATTATATTACATATTTTATTAAAAAGCCTTTTATTTAGACTTTTATTTAAAGTTAAAATAATAAAAATTACTAAATATTTTCTTGTTAATTTTTTTACATCATAATAAAAGATAATTAATTTTAAATAAAATTAAATAATTAATTACTTCATCAATACAATTAATATTATTTTAAAATATTTATTCTGATAATAAAACTACAGTGAACTCTTGATATAACAAATTTTAGGATCTGGATATCAACTTCATTATAAGCTTATAATGATTTTTTTAAAGAATTTAATTGGCTAGTTCACTATAGTAAGATAATTTTAATATACTTGATTTAAAAATTCGCTATATCAAGAATTCATTATATCAAGGTTTGACTGTACTCTAAATTCAGCTTTTTAATCTTAATTAGGTAAGTTTTCATATTTTAATATATATTATTTAACTGTTTATAAATTCTAATATACAATTATTTAGAAGCAAACTTAAAATTTTTGAATCTTGAATCTAGTAAAATAGTCAATTTTATTCTAGTATTTTCTTTAAATAAAGTAATTACTGCTAAGATTATAAATGGAAGTTGTAATTAAAAATATTTAAAGAATTTATAATATTTCAAGTTATATATATAAATTTTAATTTTAATATATTTTTTTTTAAAAAAAAATAATATTAACAAAATATTTATAATTTTAAGTTATGAAATTTTCTAATATTTTATTGATTTATATATCTTTTAATACAATTTATAAGGTTGTTACAATTTTGTGAAATATTAATATTAATATTTTTATGTTTAGATTATTCAATAATTTTTTCATCTTCTATTGTATTTTTAATAACTAATATTATTATTAAAGACTATATTTGAACTTGATAATCTTAACATTAAAATTATTAATTAATATTAATTTTAATCAATTATTACTAATATATTATACATTAAACTAATGGTTATATATTTATTTCTACCTAAAAATTTTAGTTGTTTTAACAAAATCTTTTAAAATTATATTTAATTTTGCTTATTTCTTTTTATTTAACTTTATTTCTTTATATTAAAGCAATCAGAATTAATTAAAAAATTAGTACTAAAATATTAATAAGATCCTTAATTTTTATTAAATATTTTTATACAAAATAACTGAAATTCTATTTTATTTAAATATTAGTAATTATCTATAGGTATTTATGATTAATTTTAAAATAAATAAAAATAAACATAATTATTATTAAATTTTTATTTAGATAAAATAAGTAAATAAAATATATATTAAATAAATTCATATTAAATAAAATGAATAATAAAAATTGTATTAAGTTAAATTAAAATATAATACATTAAAGTAAAATATGTTACATTAAATTAAAATATAATATTAAATTAAAATACATTATTAAATTAATATATTTTGCATTAAAATATTATATTAAATTAAATATTAGATTAATTAAAAATAAAATAAAATTATAAAATATTAAATTATCTCATTATTAATAATATAAGAATTTTTTGTAATTGTTCAGTTTATTTAAATATTATAAAAAATTTTATTAATCATTTAGCTCTTATAATTAGAACTTTAATTGGTAATAATTCAATAATTCCTTTTTTACTACTTATTATAAAATATATAATATAAAAAAATCATAAAATTTACTTATTAATCTTTCAGCTTGAATAATATAAGAGTTTTGCAATAGAAAGGGAGGAAACTCTAAAAAAATTAAAATTTTACTTTTTAAGCTAATTATAATTTTTTTTGTAAAATATGTCCAGATTTAACATTAACTCAAAAAAAATTTTTTTTAGAGTTTTCTTCCTTTATATTACAAAGTTCCCATATAGGGTGAGTGCTGAAAAAATGGACCAAATTGATTTTTTTTTTAAAAAAAAAGTTTATAAGTAAAATAGATGTAGATTTGAATATCTGATTCAGATCATTTGTTATTTCAAAAAAAAAATTTTTATCGATTTAGTCACTTTTTTCAGCACTCACCCTATATTTGATTTATTATCTGTAATTATTATAAAAATATAAATGTTTTATTAGATAAACCAAATTAAAAATAATTATGTAAAATCTTACAAATATTATTTCTAATATAAATATAAGATATATTGTATAGTTAACTTTTAATATAATAAACCTTATAATCTAGATTTCAACTTCATTATAAGATTATAATAAACATTTTAAAGAATTTAATTGGCTGATTCATTATAATAAGTTAAATTTAATATTTTATTGATTAAATATCAAAAATTCACTATATTAATAATTTATTATATTAAGGTTTACTATATCTATTTTAAGCTATTTACAATTTGTTTATTATTATAAAATATAAAATAATATTTTATTAAAATTTTTTTATTAATAAATATATCTTTAATTTGATTATATAATTCAGTTAATAGTTATTATATATAGTATTATTATTTAGAAATTGATAATTTAAATATAATTTGCAAATAAATTTAATAAATTTTTTATTATTATTTAAACTAATTAATTATTTATTTTTAATTAAAACTTTTAATCTTAATAATTCTTAATATTTAAATTATTTTATATTATTTTATTTATATAAAATTGTGATAACTGATTCTTATTTTGAATTTTATTTAATTTCTATTATATTTTCTTCAGTATTCAGTATTATTTTTTTTAATTATAATTCTTTTATATTATTCAGTTTATTCATATTAATCAAAGTATTTTTATATCTAATTTTATTCTAATAGCTTGATATTTGAAATTAAAATTAACTTATTAGTTATTTTATTAAATCAAATTTTTAGAGCTTTTGTTACATTTTTTATTATTTCTACTTTATTAATTGTTTTTTACTAATTATTTATTTTAGTATCTGAATTCAATTTAATTATAAGATATATTATCACTTTAATAGTTTGTGGATAATTTGTCTTAGTTTTTTTAACAAAGTTTCTTATTCATTTTAAAATTTTTTCAAAATATTTAATTGTAACATTTTTGTTAGAAAGTAAAAAAAATACAAATAATATATATTAATTTTTAAAATATGTGGATTAAAAAATATGTAGAAAGTAAATTATTAGTTTGATTTAACTAATATTAGTCTACCATTTATAAAAAATAAAAAATATATAATATTGTCTTATTATAAAAATTCCAGCATATAATATTAAATGAAACTTTTAATCATAATATAAAGAAAAATATTAAAAAACTTAAAAAAAATATATAATTTAAATTTTAAATATATAAAAAAATATATAATTATTAGTTAATTAAGTTAATTAAAGTTTATAATTAATAATAGAAACTTTAGAATTTTTTTAATTTAGAAACTGGAATATAAAAGATAATATTTAATATTAAATAAAACTTTTAATTAATAATAATAATAAAAAATAAAAATAAAGATTAAAGAAATTTTTAAGTAAAATAAAATTTTATATTTATTAAAAATATTGATAAAATATATAATATATATAAAATTTATTAATTGTTAAACAAATATTACAAAAATAATAAATAAGTAAAAGTTTTTTTTATAATTATAAATTATATAATATTTTTATTATATTATTTATTTATATTATTATAAAAAATATTTGCAATTTTATATCTGTTATTATATTATTTATCTAAATATTTTATATCAATAAAAATATTTAAATAATATATTAGCAGATTAGATTACTATATTAATAGGTTAAAATTAGTTTAAAAAATTAAAATTATAATAATAAAATTATATTTTTTTTAAAAAATTTTATTAAAAAAATCTATTCAAAAATTTACTTTTAATTGACCTATCTATATAAGATATATTTCTAAAAAAAAAAATAAAAAAAATAAAAAAAAAAAAATAAGTTAAAAAATTTATTTTAAAATCATTTTATATTATTAACATATGGGAGGTTTGCTAGGAAAATAGGGCTCTGAGCATTTTTTATTAAAATTTTAATATTTATTGCATTTTAATCTAACATTATCAAAAATTATAATGCAATAAAAATTAAAATTTTAATAAAAAATGCTCAGAGCCTCATTTTCCTAGCAAACCTCTCATATAATTTAAAATTTATAAATTTTTTTAACCTTTAAATTACTTTTTTTTAAATTTGAAATTTGATTAAATTTAATAAAATTTAGAAAAGACTATTAGAAGTTTAAGTATAAATATTTATTATAAACAAATAGTTTAATCTCAAATATCTTGAAACTTAAATTTTTTAAAAATAGTTTAATCAATTTTAATCTTAAAGAAATAAAAAAACATTAAAAATATATTTTAAAATTACTTTTAAAAACTTATTTTAAAAAAAATAAAAAAAAATAAATTTTATCTAAAAGTCATTTTTAATTTATTTATTTTAAGTATACAGTATATATATATTTTTAAAGAAATTAAAATTTAAAGAAAAAAAATTAAAATTTACCTAAAAATCACTTCTAATTGATTTAATTTAATTACAAAATAAGAAATTTTCTAAAATAAAAATTAATAAAATTTTATCTAAAGTTATTTTTGACTTATTTACTTTAATTCCAATAAAAATTTTCTATAGAAAAAAATTTTATATTCTAATAAAATTTTGTAAATTTTTTATTTTTTTAAATGATTTTTATTATTTTTTTGAAATTATTAACAAATTAGAAAAATATAGTTAAGTTATTATAACTAATTAAATAAAAAACCTTAATCTTAATATTTAAAATGCAATATATAGAAGTTTTGCAGTAGATAGTAAGAAAACTCTAAAAAAATTAAAATTTTACTCTCTAAGCTAATTATGATTTTTTTAGTAAAATAAGTCCAGATTTAACATTAACTCAAAAAAAAATTTTTTTAGAGTTTTCTTCCTTTCTACTGCAAAGCTCCTATATTATATAAAATTTTAGAAACTTATTTTATCATTCCTAAAAAAATAATTTTTATAATTTTTTTGAATAATAATTAAATAAATAATAAAATATTGTTCTTTTAGAATAATGATTTAATTATTATTTAAAAATGATAAAAATATTATTCTGAAAGAAAAATAATATATTTGTTTCTTAAAAATAATAAAAAAAACATTTTTTTTTAAAATGATAATTTGATCATTTTTAAAATAATAAAAAAATATTTTTTTAATTATTTTAAATAAACAATTTTGTTTTTCTATTTAAAATAATATTATTAAAATAATTTGTATTATCCTTTAATAATAATCATTTAATTATTCCAATTAAAAGCTTTTGTATTATCCAATTACAATAAATTGGATTATTTTAATTAAAACAATTTATTATTCTTATTGATATTTATTTTTATCATTTATTTAGAATAATTTGTATTATTTTTTTAAAACAATTTATATTACTTTATACAAATGATTTTTATTATTCTTTTAAGCTGATTTTTCTAATTAAACAACTTTTGCATTATCTGATTTGACCTATCAAAGTTGATTCTTAATTCAACTTTAATCAAATAATTTGATTTAGATTGATTTTTGACCAATTGATGATTATTTCTAATTAACAAACTATTAATAAATATTTATTACATATATAATTTTTTAATTTCAATTAGTATATAATACAGTATATTAAGTTTTATTTTTTTTTAGATATTAACTTATTTAAAACTTACATTATTTATATAAATTGTATAAATATATTTAAACTTATATATTTTAATTTTATTTAATATAATTTTATATATATTTAAACTTATATTAGAAAATTATTTCAGAACCATTATTTAAGTTTGAAGTAAAAATATAATAAAAGAGATTAATTATATATTGATTTAATATTTAAGTGGGTAAGTAAATAAATAATAGATATAAAAATATATAATTTTTTACTTTAGACTTAATTTTATATCAATTATATGATTTTTTATTAAATTAGTGATAACTTTGAATATATTTTTTTAATTTAAATAAGACTTTGATTATAAAAATTTGTATTTAAATCTATATAACCTAAAATTATTCAAAATTATTTAATTATCTAAAACTATAGACTTATAAAACATTACATAATAATTTATGTAAACTTATGTATATTATGTTTAAAATGTTTCCAATGTATATTTAAAACTATGATAATATTCAAATTATAAAAAGTTTAAAAAGTTTAATTTATCTTTATTGATTTTAATTTCATATTGTTGGTCTTGTTAATCTTTACTTTAAAGTTTAACTGATTTTACAGTTAAATTAATAATCATCTTTATTTTAAGGTTAAAGATTCAGAACATTTCTTCATTTCTATATTTTATTTTTATTTTTTTATACATTTTCATTTTCTTAATACCTATTTGGCATTAATAAATATTATATAAATTAAATTTTGTTAGCTAATTTTACACAATTAAATAAATATAGATGAAAATATACAACTGAACTTATAATAATTTACATAAAAAAATTTTTTTGATGTTTAGGATCTGGAACATTGGGACTTAATCTCAAATTTGCTTAGGAATATAAAACATACATCACTATCATCACTATCACTGGGATCACGTATACATTTGTCACAGAGTAAACATTTTACCAAATTCAACTCCTCACTATGACTATGCCTACCAATACTACATTATATACTTCATAAATAAACAAAAGCATATCTATCTATTTAAAATCTCTTTCAGCGAATTCATAGGATAGTCATTAAATCGAATAATTTGGGAGTAGATCCTATTGATTTGATTACTTTGAAACGACACTTAGATATTAAATTAAATTGGATCAATTCCAAAATCGAAGATCATTATTATTAAATCATTCGTGATAATAATTTTCCAAACATTCTAGTATTTACATTACGCCTCAAGTATATGCTAATGATTTTTTGATAAGTTTTTTGAACGGCAATGTTGTACCAAGGAATACCTTTCGGTGATAATACTTCATCTTTGTACTGTACGCCCAATGTTTTTTCTTTATATATATATTTTACAAATAATCACACTTGAAATTGTCATGAATTTGTTAGTTATACTGCGGTAAATAATTATCCTAAAGCCATCTTTGTAAATGGAATACGTATGTATTTAGAAATACCACATGGTTACCTTTCATTTTAAGTAGATTAAGAAATTTATATTTGGCGTGATTTTCAATGTGGACTAACGATAAATAGCTTGTAAATAAGAAGGTGATCACTTTAATTAAGAATGTTCAAATTTATACTTATAATAATAACAATAATAATGTAATATTGAAAAGGACAAATTTGTAATTTAATTCTCAAACCAAAATGAAAATTTTATCTTTAATTGTTAGCCATCGTCTTATTTATTATGAAAAGTTGGTAAATCCCCCGAGGTTGTTGAAAATCTGAGGGTACTGTGATACTTTATTCCGATTCCTCAATTCATAAAAAAAAAATCTTTTTATATCAAGACAATTTGAATATAAATTTTTTTAATTCAATTATCGAAATGTCATTTCTCTTTTTCTCTTGTTCTTGATAGAAAAATATAAAGATAATATAGTCATCTCAAAAAGTATTTTACCAAATCAAATATGAGTAACTTAGAAAGTATGCGTCCTTCAATAGAAGAGACACCGCTTACTCCAATGACTGAAAATACTATGGATACTCTCGCTCCAACCACAACGAGAGATTCAATTATCACATACAGTACTGACTTGGGAGATAGCAGTTTAACAACTGATGACGTATACGTAACCAAAAGAGAAAAAGAGGTATCCTCAGGAATAACCAACCCTTCCCCATTTTATCGACGAAGACGCTTTTGGGCTTTATGCGCAGCAATTAGTACCATTATTTCCGCCATATTCCTACCACTTTTATTTTTGGTCATAGTTCCAACCGTGGCTCAAAATACGGTTAATAAGTCACACATCGAATTTCAAGTCATTAACATCACAAATGCATCCGATGATCAATTCGATACTGAGATGACAGGAGTGGCTTCAAATGCTGGTCTCTTTGATGCTACAATGAAATTTACTGATTCCATGATTGTTTTATATAAAGGTAATAAGATTGGTTCCGTTAAATTAGAAGATATTAAAGTTACCAAAGGGAAAGGAAAGATATCAGGGAAAAATACTTTTACTATTAGCAATAAAACAGCTTTTGAACTTTTCACAAAAGATTCGATGTTAGAGGAATCTTTTGTTTGGACACTTCAAGGAAATGCAAATGTACAAGCATTTGGAATCACCACAAAAAATTTACATGTCAATAAAAATGTAACAATTCCCGGAGGTAATGGTTTTAAAAGTAAATTGACGAATCTAAAAGTTAGCCAGAACCCTGATAAAACTCTTCAAATGGAAATGACAACAATTTTACATAATACATCCCCTATTTGCATGGAACTTGGAAATTTGACCTTTCAAGTTCAAAGTGGTGAAACAGTAATGGCCAACGTAACTTCCAATTATGTCTACCTTACCACCAATGAGAATACGTTAACCTTGACAGGAACTGCAAATTTACCAACAAATGCTATTGATCAATTAAACTTTTTAAAAGTTATTGAAGCTTATCTATCAAACAAACCATTCAACACAACTGCTAAAGGGGTAAAAAATGAGCTTAAAGGTGGACCGGTGGATTGGTTGAATACAGCTATTTCGAGTTTAACTATAACGGCCGAATTGGGAGGTGCTGAGAAAGCCCCACAACTCATATCAGAAGTTGATCTTGGTCAATTGAGTATGAAGTTTACACCTGAAACAGCTTTTTCCCCGTTAATTTCTGCGAAAAATACTACCGCAAAATTCATACCACCATTTGACGTTGAATTTCAAATTTTGTCCTTACAACAAAAGTTAACTATTAACTATCAAGGAAAATCCGTCGCTGTGATTCAAACCCCCGAAACAAATGTGACAACCGTTAACGATGAAATCCTCCTTGATGTTCCAGAAACTACCTTGCAAGCTTTTGATGGATTCTCTGACCTTTTAGTAGTTTTAACGACAACTGCAGGATCTGATGTTGAAATCATTGGAGAGGCCAACATTACATCGAATTCACCAATGGGAGTAGGAACCATTCATGGAGTTCCTTTTAATGTAACTTCCAGAATGGAAGGCTTGAACCAATTTAACAGCCCCGGAAAAGAACCCGTCGTTAGTAATATTAATATTTTAGCTGGAACTACCAATCAAATTATTATAGGTTCTATCGTGACACTTGCAAATCCTACGTCATTTTCCGTTTCCATCGGCCAAGTAGGATTTGATCTGTATTACAACGATAGCAAAATTGGAACAGTTGCTATCGATGATTTATCTATTGTCCCCGGACCTAATCCAGTTCAGGTTATTATTACCTTAGATGATCCTGCAAATAATGCTGGAAATGATCTTTTGGTTTCTTATCTTAGCGGTAAAGAAACTATTTTAAACATCAAAGGTAACGATGATTCAACCAAAGTATCTAGTATGATACCAGCATTTAAAGCAATCAATATCCCATCTCCATTACCACCTTTCAATCTTCCACTTATAACAAAAGCCAATATGGAAGTTACTCCACAATCCGCATTGGACAATTCCACCATAGCAATTGTTGAAATGACAAATCCTTTTGATGCACCAATTTCGATTTATACCATGGATTCATCATTTGAAATTAATGGAACTTCACTTGGATCAGTGCAACAAGATTTAAAAGACAATCCAATTTTCCTTCAAGGTCATGTTACTCAAAAACTTGGGTTTAATGTTAAAATGTCACTTGATATCGAATCAACGATTACCATTTTAAGAAATTTAGCTTTGGCAAAGGGCATGGATGTTTCGGGGCTAGACACACTCATTACAGCATTTCATTTAAATATTCCTGGCGCAAATTCGAATGTAATACCTATTAATGGACAATCTAAACCATTTAATCCCTCTACCTTTATTACAACAGCATTAAAGGAAATTCCCACACATATCACTTTGGATGCTCAAGTTGCAATTGGAAATTATTTTCTACCATCTTTAAAGTATCAACAAGATATTAACGTAGAAACAGATGATTCCATAGTATATTTGCTTGCTTCAATCCTAAAATTTTAAACTATAATAGATGGGATATGATTTTTTTCATGTAATGAACTTATTAAATATAGCTTAATTTATAGTTTTTTTTGTTTTTTTTTTTTAAAAAAAATTTTAATCTTAATTCTAATTTAAAATTTAAGTAATCTAATCTAATACAGTATTTAATTTCCTAATAAAAATATATATATATATTATCCTGCCCAGTCTGTTGATCAATGAATATAAAATGTCATATAAATATGTCATATAAATTTGCTATTCTCTCAAATTCTAATGTCTAACGTTTATGGTATAATTTTTCTTTAATATTTCTACATCATATGTACTAAAAAACTAATTTTTCGTAATTTATTTAAAAAGAAGCGTCTTCGCTTTATTCAATTGACACAGAGTACAGTGCAGATTCTGCAGAATTTTGTCCATTTGAACAATTTTCTCAGTATTTGGCATGTGGTACTTATCAATTATCAGAATCGGATTCTTTAGCGAAACAAGAAACCACGACGCAAATTAATGAGAATAAAGGAGAAGAATTATTAAATAAAATTGATATGCCAATGAAGAGACTTGGTAGATTACTATTGTATGAAGTAAAAAAGAATGATGATGAAAACAAAGTATATTTGTAAGTTTTTTTTTTTTTTACAAAAAAAAAAAAAAATTGCGATATGATCACTTTCTTTTTGCTTTACATAAATTTATTTTTTTATTTATTAACAGACAAGAAATACAAAGAATCGAAACATCTGCAATACTTGATATGAAGTGGTAAAAGCATAAATTTTTATAATTATTATTAATAAATTTTTTTCATTAAATTTTTTTTTTTTTTTTATAAAAATAGGTCACATCAGATTATTGATGATAAGATTATCTTAGCGACAGCAAATGCAACGGGAACAATCACTTTATACAACTTAAATCAAGAAATTGTATGAAATCTTTTTAAATAATTCCGGAATTCCAGTTTTTTTGAACATTTTAACTCACGAACTTTCTTGAATTTTTAAGGGGAGTTTTGATTTGATTACAAAGCATATAACAAATAATGAAGATAAATTATGTCTTTCGCTTGATTGGTCAAATCGAATTGAAGATATGGGAAACAATAAATCTATCGTCATATCTCAAAGTGATGGAAATATTGTTTTGTTATCCGTAGATAATCAACTTGGAATACATGAGACCAATAAGTGGTTTGCTCATGATTTCGAGGCTTGGGTAGCCGCTTTTAACTATTGGAATACGAATTTAATATACACTGGTTGACAATTATTCTTAATATTTCAAGAGATGATATATATATATTTTTTTTTATAAAATTATAAAATTATTTACGATTTTTTAATCAATATTAAAAAGGTGGAGATGATTGCCTCTTTAAAGGATGGGATCTAAGAATAAGTCAATCAACTCCTTTATTTTCGAGTAAAAAGTATGTAAAATCTGTCTAATTCAAAACAACGACATCGCTTTTTCATTCATCAAAAAAAGTTTAAAATTAGACATCAGGCTGGAGTTTGTAGCATTCAATTTAATCCACATTCAGAATATCATTTAGTCACAGGAAGGTAAGGTGAAAATTTCTAAAATTCTTCATTATATTTTTATCTCGCTCAAATAATTTTTTTTTATACGTACGTGAATTAAAGTTACGACGAGCGTATATTATTATGGGATACAAGATCAATGAAACAACCAATATATGATCATAACATTGGAGGTGGTGTATGGAGATTAAAATGGCATCCAAGGAAAGATTATTTATCGGCGGCTTGTATGCATAATGGATTTCATATAATTGAGGTTGACGGTAATAAAACTATGAGAACGGCTTGTAGTTTTACGAAACATGAATCACTCGCTTACGGAATTGATTGGAACTTTTCTGATAAATGGAAATTTGAAAAATCATCATATCCATTAATCGCAAGTTGTTCTTTTTACGATCATGTCATGCATCTTTGGTAACACGCTGTCTGATGTTTATTTATAACTTTTGATCTAACTCGTTTTGGACGTATACTAAAATAAATTAATAAATATAAACAATCACATTCATTTATTGCAACGCGAAAAAAAGGGTAACGTACATGCAAATAATCCTAACTTGAAAAAAAAGGTTTGGATCGGGAACAATCCATGTCACATAAGATCCAAATACAATGGGTATTTAATAACCGGAATTAACTCACGGTCTTTAAATAGGAATTATTGACATGTAACCTTTTTACTTAACTGTTTATAATCGAATTAACAATAACAAAACTTTACACATTGTAATTTGACATTTAATTTGTTTTATATAATCTTTACGTAAGATCATTTACGTAAAACATGATTTTTTGAAATCGCAATATTCAGTAAAAAATCTCACGAAAGTGAATTTTATTCAGATCGACAAAAAATTTTTTTTCTTGTGTAAATATTTACATTTTACTTCGTTTCACAGAAATAATATTTTTTTTTTAAAGTTATTTGTGAGAACTATAAAATGAATCAATATTCGTGCGAGAAGAAAATTTTGTGGTTTAATCCAATTAAACCACCAAAATTAAGATGTATCTTTTTTTTGAAACAAACCATTTATAAGGAAATCTCTCTAAAATATTCAATCGTCGTTCTTTTTAATGCCTTAACCATGAATTCGAGATTTAAAGATTAAAGGTTAATAACCTTTTCTTAATAGATTGATAAAACAATGCACAATCTACTAACAATTGAAAATATTTGTTAATTTTAGTTCTTTTAAATGAAAAAAATCGAGCTCGATCGTGTTTTTTATTTTATTTTATTTCTTATCGTCTAATCAGTTATCGTACAACTGTAATCTTTTTTTTTTCGGTTACAAATTTATTTTTTTAATCAATAGCGAAGAACTTTTTCCTTTAACTTGAGTTCAATTATGTAACATATCAATTAATATTTTACTAAGCGTAAATATTTGCAAATTTCATTAGAATTTAGAATTATAATCACAATAGTTTAAAACTAAATCAAGTCAAAATAATATTTTTCAGTTATTTATCAGTTTATAATTTATCTTTCTTCGTTTTATTTTAATTGGAAGTTTATAATTATGTATATATAAATCAAGTCTAATAAAAAATTATTACAATTAAGACAAACAATCATGTATCATATGCCATGAAATGTTTTTAACATGCATATCTGATTGTTTTAAAACTACGTGTTGATTAACATTTCTAGCCGCAGAAAATTATTTTTGAACTTTAGGCAGTGGCTTGCAGCCCGTTAAGAATATGCAAGCTTTTAATTGGTTACAGGAGTCGTATTACTTTTATTGCTCTTTTTATATTCTATCAAAGGTATTAAATGTTAAATTACTTATATATATATAATTAATTATTAAAAAAATATTTTTTTCGTCGATAAAGTCATATGTAAACATATGTTCTTTTCCACAAAAATTAATAATGAAAAATATTAAATTGACACGTAAAAAAAAAAAAAAAACAAAAAACAAAAACTTACAAAATTTTACCAGAATAATTGTCAATTTGAAAGGAATCTAATAAATATCATTAACAAATTAATTTTGAATGGTCATTAAACAAAATGTTTGACAGTAAATACTTTCTCACCACGTGCAAAATTTTCGAGATGCGAATTTAGATTCGAAGTAAAATCATTAATAATAGCATCCGGAAGTTGTAAAGGACGACTCTTGTAATAGGCATTTGGATGGTGGTTAGTACAAGGTATGTTTGGATTATTTAATAATTTCTTTTTTTTCCAGTCATCAGCGGCCTTGAAATCGGTGTAACATTCCGTAGGTCTTTTCTGAGAAAATTCCTGTTTAATTATAAGAAATATTATCATACCATTCCACTAAATTTCGATATCTAAATTCATTTCATTTACCATTTGCCAGTACTTGAGGGTATTATAGACCTCTTCCGCTGTGGGCCTTTTGGAAGGGTTAGTATCCCAACATAATTTCATAAACCTCGCAAAAGTTCGTGGAGTTCCTTCCAGAATCTTTGGTCTTAGTCCATGAAAAATTTCCAAAACTAAATTTGTATCATGAGATCGTTCGCATAATGGAGGGAGGTAGGTACACATTTCCCACATTATAAATGCAAAACTATAAATATCGGATTCCTTTGTATATACTTTAGTGCGTAAAACTTCGGGTGCTACGTAAGGTAAAACACCATAAATTTCTTCTTTTTCATCGAATTTATCTACGGGACGACAAAGACCAAAATCTCCAATTAATGGAATTTCTTCATGTAATAAAATATTATTGCTGTGAAGATTTTTATGTATTAATCCTAATGCATGCAAACTCTTTAACCCTCCCGCTATATATTGCAATATAAGTAACTTTCTATCCCATGTTATGATTGAATAATTTTTTTTCAAATAATTTCGAAGATTTCCATTATTTGCAAATTGCATCATGATTACATATTTTTGAGTTGATGGATTTTTCGAGATTCCTAAAATTCTAATTAAATGGTCTTTGACATGAGATGGAATGACTGGGCGTGTTCGAAGGTATGGCATCATCTATATGATATTTATACATTCACTAATTAATAAAAAAAAAATTATCGAGAATTGTGTTTTTAAAATACCTTTTTAAAGAATTCGGCGGTTATATTTCTCGAGTTGTCCAAAATTTTTACAGCAACTTGCGTTGCTCCATGCCTTTCCCACCTCTGTCGTAAATGATTCCATCCAATTATTAAATCTATTTGACCTTCAATCCAAGTTGCTTTTTGCACATTTCCGAATCCACCCTTACCAATCATTTTAAAGCTCTTTAATCGATCATAAGGTATCCATTCTAAAACTCGATTCCTTGAAGAAGCGTTAATTTGTATTGTTCTTATGAATTTATCGATATCTCGATTTCCACTTGACCATTTTGTAAAACACAAAATGAAATGTTTTGAATTGCATGTCTGACACCAATTATAACTAGTATTACATTTCCCACATTCTAGACACTTTCCATAATCCATAACTTTTCTAAACACTGAAATCAGTATCGCACGGGATTTCTTTGCTCTACTTTTCTTACTTTTCTTATAAGATAAATCTGCCATTTTTTTAAGAGAGGTTTTTTAAGCAAATTTTTTGTACGTTTACGATGCAACGCATAAAGATGGTTTTTTGAACGGAATTTCATAGTTTTTTTTTTTTCTTTTTTTTAAATTGAAAATCCATCTTATAATATTTTTATTTTATTTCATTTCTCACATGGCATTTTTGAAAATCAAATGTCTTTTTTTTTATTCAATATAGAAAGAAATTTTTATGCTAAAAATGTTATTATTATGAAATTTTTTAGCAAAATTCAAAATGAAAATAAGGAAAACCAAAAGTTTTTTTTTTGATTAACTAATTTTTAAAAGGGCAACTTTTAATAAAAGCTTTTACAAAATAAATAATGAAAAGAATTATTTTTTATACAGTAACGTGAAAATTAATAAGAATGCTTCGTTACGTTATTTATTTATTAATTTCGTATTTAGCATCCCCTTGGATTCTGTCACCTTTCCCTTCGGCTTCTAATTGCGGATTTCCTGCAACGTAACCAGCATTTTCCTTAACGGTCCCTTTTACTTTGCCGGTAGTACCTCCAGCGACATTTCCGGCTTTAGCGGTTTCTACTTGTTGATTTCCGGTTCTACGTTCATGAGCACCGGTTTGTTCAAGAGAGGTATTGTTTAAAGCTGATCCTAATGATTCTTTTACCGCGCCTTTTACGGCGTGAAGTTTTCCCGTTGTTTTGGAAGGTCCTTTAGTTTGATTGGATTCAGCTACGTTATATTCATTATTTCCTTTTTCTTTGTTGGCCAAGCCTTGAGCTTGATAATCTTCGGAGCCAATGGATTTTCCAACTATAAAAATCAGAGAGTGAGTTATATAAACTTACAAAATATCGAATTATCAATTAAAAATGTTTGAATAATAAATTCGAGATGTTTACCGTTATCTTTTACGGCGCCACTAGCATATTCAGCATTTGCGTTAATTTTGCTTGGTTGTTGAGACATTTTTTAAAAGAATTTTTTTTTTTTTTTGATAATTTAAAATCAGGTTTTTTTCTTTCTTGTTGAATTTTAAAATGTGAAAACAATCATTTTTGAACGTTGCTTTTATAACGTTCAGAAGTGAAAATGCAATTTTGTCATGTCGTCATGTTCTAACGCTTATTTAACTTCTAAATTATAGGAAATTATAAGAGCGGGTTGTCATAGATACGTATTCTGGTATCATAGTTTCGTCATAACACATGTTCAAATTTAGTGACGACATCTTGATCAATTCTGCTAATCATTTTATACATATAATATTATTAATTAGCATTTGTTAAATTTAGATATTTAATATTTATTAAATTATTTATTTTTTAAGTTAGCAGAACCAAATTAATAAAAACGATATTTATTACATCATATCTTTGTATTGCTTTTGAATAAAAGATTAATAGGTCGAACTTATCATTTTTGATTATTTTTATAAATTAGGTATCCACCTTATATATGAAGCTAAAATTAATCAATTTTGGGATTTCCGAAATGGTCGAAATGGTCGAAACTGATGTCATTATATCACGATTATTCATATATAAAAAATTAAAAATTAAAAATATACGATCTCAACCAATATCGCCACATTTCTTATGATACAACTACGAATCCAATGTGATATAATTCATTGATTTTGGATTAGTCAATCTCAAGAAAGTTGCAATCAATTATCAACCAGAATTATAATTCCAGATTTTATATTCAATCATTTTGAAATTAGCTGATCCTAAATTGATGAATGGTGGATTTGTCTAATTGCATGGAATCAAGTAGTATTGTTTCATAATACAGGATAATAATGACCAATATCAATATTATGGAAAATTATATGATATAATAACATTGATTTTGACCATTTTGACTTTAATTTAACTTTTAACCTTCAAAATCAAATAGTTTGACTTTGGTTTTCATATATATAAAGATGCCATCTACGGTATTATTAAATCTAAAGTTATATTTATAATGTTTATATGCAATAATTGTATTTTTGTAATATTAAAATGATTAAAATTTTCACATTTGTTTGATTCTTGAAGAATATTTTGCATCAGAATATCCAGAAAATTTTCATATATATAATTTTATGGTTGACATTATAGAACTTAATTAAAATTATCTAAACATATCGATATAACTAAATAGTAAAAAAAAAAAAAAAAAAAAAAAAAAAAAATAAAACAAAATAATTATTTATAATAATAAAAAAATAGATTTTTTTTTAAAAAAATTTTAAATAAAATTATAAAAAAAATAATAATATAAAAAT